AGTAGAAGAAATAATGTTTTTTTTAATTCCTCATCCTTGAATTTTGCCATTCCTCATGTTTAAGATACAAAATGGACTTTAAAACAGGATATTGGTACAATGAAAGCTGATTAATAAAAATACGTAGGGCTTCACAATTTTATATGTTATAAAGACGCTAGCCATTATAAGCAAATTGTCTGGGAAGAAAACATCTTGAAACAGTAATATATAAATAGTATGTAATTTATTGTTGATATTTATTTTTTAAACTGAAATGCAATTAATATCACAGTTTATGAGGCTCTAAACTGAGACAGTGATGTCTTGTTGCCTCCTCACTCACCAATGATTAAATGTACAGGTTGTATATAAATATCAATTAAGAATTATGCTCTTATCATTTTTAACATGCATGATGACTTACCTACTACTTGCCAAAAACAGTATAGTGTACATTTAAGGTAGAGCAGCCAGACCACTGTCAAAAATGTTGGGGGAAACAGTCACTCACTAACTTATCTTGAGCTCCAAAATAGGAGCTACCACAGCACCTTATTGGCTCCTTGTACAGATGAAAACATATAACATGTACCATCTTTAATATTGTCCCCACCATTTAAAAAGAACTTCTTATAACTAGGATAAGTTAGAGACATATATGGTCTTAATGTATATGAGCTAATGAAGTCTTTAGAGCACTCCTCAGTCAAAATTACAGAGCTTAGCTGAGAGGTTAAATAACTTTTTAACTGTTGCTAATAAGTTACAAAGAAGATGGACACATCCAATACAGTAATTCAGAGATCGGAAGCCTTGCCTTTAATCATTACATTTGTCTTTGAATGACTCAAAATAATGGGTAAATAATATTAATTATAGTTTTCAGTTCATTTTCTCATTCAGTAGCTAATGAAATACTATTATTTCTGACCTATGCAAATATTATGTGCAACTTTTGTCTCTTCCTTCTGATTTGGGAACAGGTGGCAATATTTACATCACAGAAACTGGCAAAAGCTACTATCAGGTCTCCCTCCCATTGGAACCAGTCCATTGTTAACCACTTATCAGCATGTAACTGTGATATAAAATCAGTGCATCTCTGCAACTTGGAATAAGACATGCCAGTATTCCTGTTTAAAAATATACTTTTAGAAACCTCACTTCTTTGTGTTTGCTTACAGTACATAGACTTCAATTGGTGAAGATGTCAACATGGAGATGATCAATCATACAGTAGTCACTGAGTTTATTCTTCTGGGATTTTCCAATGACCCTGGGATGCAAATCTTACATGGTACCCTATTCTTGGTGGCTTACTTGGCAGCCCTGACAGGAAATGGGCTCATCATTTTTTTAATTACGTGTGATCCTCGGTTTCACACCCCCATGTACTTCTTTCTGAAGAATCTGTCATTTGTAGACCTATGTTACATCTCTGTCACTGTTCCTAAATTTGTTCTAAACTCTCTGATGCACAGGAACTCCATATCCTTCCTTGGGTGTGTTTTGCAGGTGTTTTGTTTCGTCCTTTTCGCCTGCACTGAATTAGCCATGTTGACCGTGATGTCTTATGACCGTTATGTAGCTATCTGTAAACCATTACATTATGAGGTCATCATGAGTCGACGGGCTTGTGAACATATGGTGGTGGCTTCATATATCAGTGGGGTGATCTCTGGGGCAATGCACACTGCAGCAACATTCTCCATGACGATAAATTCTAATAGAATCCATCAGTTTTTCTGTGACATTCCAAAAATTTTGATTTTAGATTCCAAATTGAACCTAGGAGAAATGGGAATCATTGCACTTATTTTCAGTGCCACACTAGTTTGCTTTGCATGTATTATTTACTCATATGTCCACATATTTTCCATTGTCCACAGAACCTCCTCTTCAGAGGGTAGGAGCAAAGCCCTTTCCACATGCACCCCCCACCTGATTGTTGTGACCTTGTTTATCCTAACCGCTTCTTTGGACTACCTGAAGCCACCCTCTAACTCGAGGTCCGTTATAGATCTCATTTTGTCTGTATTTTACACTGTATTGCCCCCAACACTGAACCCCATCATATATAGTCTTAGAAACAAGGAAATAAAAGCAGCTCTTGGGAAAGTGCTGGCCATGCAGGTATTTAAATTGAATTGACCATCAGTGGAAGATTTAGTGAGATGTCATACTTCTTCCGTTCTAAGACACTCCTAGTCCCCAGTTTTAATATGCATAAAATATAGAAAATATCTGAAAATGTATGTAATCCTTAGTTGAATTGGAATTAATGACATCATTATTAAAGAATATGTTCCCGGTGCATGGGGAAAATGAAAACCATAGATATCATTGAACACTTCTTTAAATTTGACTCAACAGATGCTTGTGGATTAGCTAGTAAATGAAATATATTTAGCAATATTAGGACATATAATTTATAAAATGAGTTGTCCTAATCAAAATGTTTGCTTAGGAGGCTAGTAACATTACTTTTTATAAAGTATATATTTTTTTAATTCTGCATTATCAATTATCTTAATTTTAAAAGCACAATTATTTGGTTTAAATTGGGCATTCACTATCCAGACAGATCCTGAAAAATCACATTAAGAACATGAAAAATAAATTCACATATTTTACCTCTTATATTTCCTAAGAATGAGTAACCTTATTACACGGCAGGCAGAAGCTCCTATGGAGGACCCGTGGTGTGAAATGTTTGTCAGTTATATTCTTAACACTTATAATTACACCCAGAGCCTCCCTTGCATCCATATAACAGATAAATTCATCTTCCTTTTCCCTCCTTATCTATTGTGTAAGTAGACACTGCATAAAGTGTGTGGATGAAGGGTTTCTGTCTTCTTGTGTTCTGTTTCTGATTCCAGCCTCTTGCTCAACTGTTTCCCTCCACAAGATAACTATTAAACTAGCAGGAATCTGCCTTCCTCCACTGATACCAAATGAAGTTGTCAATACATTTTCTTATTAGAGCCATGTGTAGCTAATGCTGAAAATTACTTTGCACTATTTAAAAAT